AAAGCAATCGATATGAAAGCTAATTATGTGGAGATATACACTAATTACATCCAAACTTTAGAACAACACTATCTGTCTATCATTAATTGGTTCAAAAAGGTTTAACTGATTTGGACATGTAAAAACCGAGGGTTGGTAAGGTTAATTATTCACCATTTTGATATGTCTTAATTTTGTCACTACCATCTTGAATGTGTCGCGTTTATTCAACGTCCATGGAGAACTATTACATTTGATAATGAAAACCATACAAGCATCCTTCGAAACAAAGAAGGAGGGAATCACAATGAATATTATCCAGAGTTATGCGCCACCAATGATAGCAACGACCACCATGAAGATCAGTTCTATGAGACACTTCAATCGGTCATAGTGAAGTGCTCACGAAATTACCTGACTACTCTGACAGGAGACCTAAACTCTAAAGTCGGAATGCACAACATCCGGTGTGAAAATATCACGGGACGATATGGACTGACTGGGAGAAACGAACGAGTGATGATAAATCCGCAAATTTATGCACATTCAACAAAATGGTTAGAGGTGGCACAGCATTCCCACACAAACGTATACATAAAGCTGCATGGATATCACCGTTTCACACTACACAGAACAAGATCACAATGTCAATGGAAAATATGAGGATCAGGAGAGGAGCTCACATTGCTTCGGATCACCATCTACCTGATGGTTGCCAAGATCAATCTGAAGCTAAAGAAGCGATGGACAACTTGAGAAACAGGAGTACAAGTGTCTAACACAACCTTCCTTCGACATACGGACAAGCTCAATCAATTCAAGATAACTCTCGACAACAGGTTTCAAGTGTTACAATATCTACTCAAACAAGAAGAAACTACTATGGAGGACAACTTGAAAGGAGTTAAAGAAACACTAACTCCAACGTGTCAATATATTCTGATCCGCGACAAGCATCATCATGAGGAATGGATCTCCATCGAAACTCTAGACAAGACTCAAGAAAGTGAGAACAAGAAGACAGTAATTAACAACAACCGAACAAGAATAGAGAGTCAAGGCACAAGCTGAGTACAATGAACCAAACGAGTAAGTGAAGAAGAGCGTTAGAGCTGACAAGCAGAAATGTGTGGAAGACCTATCAACGACAGTGGAAAAAGCTTCAACAGAAGGAAATATCGAACAACTTGTAAGATACAACGAAGTGACTGGCACGGGAATATGGTAAACTAGAGAGGGTGGTCCAGGACAACGAAGGAAGGCCAATCACTGAAATTCGAGGACAGATGAATAGATGGGTAGAACACTTTGTGGAGCTATTGAACAGATCAGCCCCATTGAGTCCATCGGACATCGAAGCAGCAACTACAGACCTTCCTATAGATGTCACTCCATGGACGATCGAAGAAATCAGGATGGCCGTCAGACAAATCAAGTGTGGGTAGCAGAAGGACCTGACAATATACCAGACGAAGCGCTGAAGAAAGACATTGAAGCAACTTAAAACATACTCCATGTTCTATTCAGGGAGATTTCGAAGACCAAGTGCCACAGAGACTGGAAAAAAGAATATCTCATCAAGATATCAAAGAAAATAAGAAACATGGAATACAGTGGACAACTAGGAATCAATTAGATTTGGACTTCGTAAAAGACCTGGCCCCTTTATACCATACACAAGAACAAATGTAGATGAAAACAAACAATGTAGCAGCAGCCTCTTCATCAGTAGGCTTCAACTTACACGAGAAAGAGGAAGATCCTCAAATAGAACACAGAATATCAATCCAAACAGAAATGATGGATAAACTCTGGGAATGTGGAATCTTCCACGTACTTGGATATCATCATTGATGAACAAGGAGGATCTGATGCAGATTTGAAGGCAAGTAGTGGCAAATCAAGAACAGAATTTCTGCAGTTGAAGAATATATGGAAATCAAAACAACTATCAACCAATATCAGAGTCAGAATCTTCCATACGAACGTCAAGATAGTTCTGCTGTACGGAGCTGAAACTTGGAGAATTACCACAACCATGATCAGGAAAATACAAGTATTTGTAAACATCCATCAAAAAATAATATTTCTAAACAGTTGTCTACACAATACACTCAATGTCTGTTGACCGTATACCACCAGCAAAAGCCTACTGTGGGAGAACAAACCAGCTGAAAAGAAGAGGATGGCGAAAGTGAATAGAACATGCATTGAGGAAATCAACAAACAGCATCATGAGGTTAGCGCTAACTTGGAATCGTGATTGGAGACGTAAAAGAGAAACGTCAAGGGACACAGTGTCGAGAACTGGAATAAAGTACCAAAATAATGAATAGCAATTGGAAACATCTGGAAAGCACTGCCCAGGACAGAGTTGAATGGCGAATGCTGGTGGGCGGCCTATGCTTTCACGGGGGGGGGGGCAACAGGCGTGAGTAGTGGTAAAGTGATTTCATGATTAGCTTACTGGATTCGGTACATAACAGCAGGGTTTTTTACTGTATGGTGCCAAGAACGCAATTATTTGTACACAATCAAACCAAGATACATTAATTTGGCACCCAGTTTTAATAGTCTAAATACTTTCTATCCCTTGTGGATATTTAGGATAGGCAACAAATCATCTCTAGTTTGTGAATTATATTAGGACAGCCCTATAAGTTAATATTCAGTGAAGTGAAGGATATAAAGCGAAAGATAACATTAATCCTGATTTCTATTAAACAGCTATGGCAAAACTCCCTGAGATATTTATCTTCAATATCGAACACGATGTTAAACATATTTTTTTGAATTGTTTATACTACTTATGAGTAGCCATATCCTATTACCAACCGTTAATTGTTATCAAACCAAGTACTTTTTCTTATTGACAACTTACTAAATAGTGAGACGAAACTAAGACGTTACTTCTCCATATTTTGCTGAACCGTCAAGGAACCTGTTCAAAATTACTTACACCCCTATTAATTGAGCTCCAAAAGAAACTGGAAGGACCATTCGTAAGATTCACGTTCAGCTAAGTGGATATTAGATTAGAAAGCGGAATGGTAATACTTACTATGTACTGGAATAATTACTCTACTGGTGTGTTCCGACAACCTTTGGGAGACTGGTGGCTTTTACAGTCTATTCGTTAACTATGTAATTTGACAGCCAACAATAAATAAACTGAATTTATGGTAATACGTCCGTCATATGCTAAAAGAACGTTTGAAAGTCTTTACGAGAGAACATTTCATAGATAAATTGAATGGCTACTTATTTCAATTGATGTAGTATACACAGGGAAAAAATTTAGCACTAATAAGTTGATGAGTCAAGTAAACAAAATAGAACAACTAAACATGCTTACGACCAACAAGTCTCAATATCTGTTCTAACTCACAATGTAAAGATGAAGCACGATAACAAAGCATAAAAATGTTTTCCATTATCCCAAATCGACTTGAAATACGACTACCATTTCAAATAATTTCTCATTTAGAGATTTTATGGACGAGTGGACAATCAGTCAAGAAAATATCCAACTTGAGTACCACGATAAACTAGAAAAGTCTATGTAACTTAAGGCTATTTGAAAAGTCATTAATATCATATTACCCAGGTTGTTCAATGAATGGAACCTGATATGCCAATGATACATCTAAGTAATTCTACTAGTAATAACAATTCTCGCTACATAATTAAGTATAGGTAGATACCATGAAACAAGCAACTTACGCTCAGAAACAGTTCAGACAAAAAGTTCCCATAGAATAATACCTATTCAGTCACTTATAGCTAGTAATCAATATCCTGATAACAGCAATTACTGGTTAACAATCTCGAACATACGTTTTGCTGTGACTTCATCGAGAAATCTGAATAACTGTACGCCAACAACAAAAAGCTTAAGCGTAAGAATTAGTTTCTAAACAGGTCTTTTTAACAACGTTAAGACTATAACCACTCGTTAAACAGTGGTGGACCCTGAATGATCGTTGTGGACATGAAAAGAGCATCGTCCTCTTATTAATCATATCATACATCTCCAATCGATAAGGTTGTCAGTGAGTTGCAAGGCCATCTAGTCTTTTTCCGACAACAGAGTCACATGTAGAAAACCTATATATTACTACTCTCTAGAACAAGAGTACCATACTTGATCGACTGGAAATACTTCACAGAAATCAACTGTTCATCAATGGAGGATTTCAGTTTTTTGAATGTACTCGCTCAAGTTTTCTAACACATTACTGGCTATCGCAAACAGATATCTAAGATTCATTTGGTTTGATAACGTCATTGTGACGTGCGATATAAACGTCAGTGCTAATACGCAATCCTCCTACACACGAGTTCAACCGGCTACTCGAGTGAAAAGACTGAACGAGAAAGGAAGTTCATTGGAATCAATATGTACGTATACTTATTTATATATGTATCCGTCTTTTGAATAACTAAGCGCACCTATCATTTGGCTAATCTTTAATTAGCTTAATGCATTAAACATTAACCAATGTAGAGGATCCGACTGACTAGCACATTAGAGATCTAGTAAAGTAATAACTCCAGGGATGACTGACAAATTGACAGTACATTCATGACAAATTATTGTGCTTTTTTCAGAAGTCAGCTGGATTTCGGATTAAAGTGCTTCAGTAGCAAAAGTCTGAAAGCAGTTTAGATGAGTCTAAAAAGTTAAACGAATGTACTGCATAGTTAGGATTGATGAATAAGACAAACAGCATGATAGGAAACTATCAAATATTTTCTTGGAGATTCATTTGTGTTGATTTTTGAAGAAAGGTTCAAACATATTTGAACTTTTGTGCGGGAGGTCAAAATGGCTAGCTGATTATCTTTCATTTACCCGATCACTTACATAACAAGAGGAAAAAATCACGATGATTATAACATTTCTTTTACATAGGAAACTTATAGTAAGTGGGAATCGTCAGGATTTAAATAATCTTTTCAGATAAATAAATACAGATACGACATACAAAATGATCACAATAAACAAAGGAAAAAGAATATCACAGGCCACCAACACGATCCCTAGGGATTAACCGTAAATCTGATCCATGTTTAAGAAACACTTCACCTAAAGGAAAAAAGTGAAAACAAGTTCTTAGTAAAATTAAATAATACATTATTAATGAGACTAAATTAACGAGACCTCTATGTATAACCAGCAAAAGAATGTAGAAAGGTTATGCAAGTTAATTAATCCACTATTTTTAGGGTCATATAGGTATTAGTTACTTTACGAAAACCCAACAGAAATAATTAAGGTCCTATCCACACTTTTCAAATCATGTTATTTGTGGTATTATATATATGACGCGGCTAACTTACTATTTATGGACATAGATGCATTTAAAACTTTAAAACTTGATTGCGTAATTTAGCATTTAGGACACGTTCACCTTGATGTGGTAGTGATAAATATACATGTACATGTAAAATGTCATGACACGCTTAATCCTTCAGAAACAAAACACGGATCTTGACTGTTTAATTAAATATCTTGTATCCAACATGTGTACACGATCCAAATATGATTGGCAACACGTTCTGGAATCTAAAGAGGATACGTGGAAACTAATCTGTGCAATCAAAATGCAGAAACTACGTAAGTTTGAGTAAATGTATAAGTCTATTAAGAATCTGCTAGGTATTGGGATACAAAAAGTAATACACAAAACTGCATTATAACAGTTCGACAATAAAATAAGATTCACCTGCTGTTTGTTGAGGATTTATACCGATCCCATCATCTGTGATAATAGCGCTTGTGGCTGCTGGTACGCTAAACTAGGAAGCGAAAAGAAAAGTGATGAAGCAAACCATTTAAGATAAGAATAAACTAGGTGATCTATTTTCAAATACTTTAAAAACTGTTCACATACATAAGGAGTTGGTATTTAGTCAAATACATAGTCATACATCTTCGTAAATTTATGAAGTCAGTAATTTGGTACCTAGGTTTGCTTACGGAAACTATCACATAGGCAGCGCCAAACACTGCAATTTACTAAGACCAAAGTTTAGTAAATGGACTGGCAACCTTAATTTCGGTACACAGAAGGACAATAATTCATGAGGTTTCTGAGCTAATGGTGCTTAACCTTGACAATGAGGCTTAAGGACTGAATTTCGGCGACATTATGAGCAGTAGTGGGTAGACAAACCGTTAGGATCAATGTATGGCGACAAAATTATCTGAAAACTGGTAAGGAAAGCTTATACCACGCCAACCAGTTCTGTTTAATCGGTGTTTATTGGAAAATTCGTTTAACAGATTCACAAGAATCGTGGACCAAGTAACTGAAAAAATGTTACTGTTGGCTTAGCCTAGAAACCAGGAACGAATATGTTCTGAAAAGTAGGGTAATATGACTGATACAGTGAACAATGTACAGTAAACTATTATCCTTGATGGAAGGGGCTTTTTTACGGTGATTCACTCTCGCTTGGCAAGTGGAAATTAGAGCTTAACTTGGGACAAGAAAACAAATATCAGTGAATTATGTGTAGAACTAAATGTACCCTACGATGTATTGCTGCTACTGAGATCGATAGTCAACCTGGAAATAGACAGCGACGTTAAGAATAATTGAAAAAATATTGATAAGGACATTCTGTGCTCTATCACATGGAACATGTAGATCTCTGATCACCCAACATATAACACTTGTTTCGGATATCTTTATTTCGTGATAACCAAGGAAATCTCTTTGAAAATTCTGCAAGTTTGTCCGTCGTACATGGTCTCGTCTTAAAATTTTGGACACAGTAACGACACCTCTAGTTGACTGGATTTTCGCAAAAGCATACAATGAGAAATTTATTGAAAGAAGAGCATGGTGAAATTAGACAACACCGACGTTTTACTAGCCAATGTCCCTATTTTGAGGAATATTTTGTCTGTTTTAGGGAAATTTGGGGGAAATGGTACAAAAAACCCGAAATTTACACAGATCTGGGGGACTCCCTCAAACTTTGAGGAAAACTGCCAACTGTAATCGGACTACGGAGATTGATAAATGTAGAATACTACAATACTTCCCCATTATAAGACCGCTTAAGGTATTGATGGTGACTGAAAACTCACATAGATAAACAAGCTCACCAAAACTAACTCACTTCTTCAGCAGCAAACTTCAAGACAGCAGTAAATGGTGCGTTTTCAGGAACCTTTAGTCTGTCACACAGTAAAATATTATAAACAAACTTACACCTTGAAGGGTAAATTAGGGTCTGAAGTGAGAGTGATTTTAAACGATATCTTTGACCTAAAAACCCACAAATAACAAAATATAAGACGACGTACATGTAACGTCCTCAATCAAACCTAGAGGGGTTGACAGACAATGTTACAACATCACCTCCACATATATCAATTGAAAAACCCATCACTTTATACCGAGATAAGTACATTTGTTTAGATGTGGGTGTAATAAAGTACTTACGCTATATTTTTGTTATCTGTTAACCGGAGCAGTGTTGTCAGCACCTGCAATTGACTCTTTCAGGAAAAGACTAAACACTTACAGAAGCATACTAGAAAAGGGAAACATATGCCGTCGGCCTTCTGTCCTTACTACACAAATCTGAATCTAATATCGTACATTTTACTGTCTGTCATAAGCTGTAACTCAGGTTTTGGAGTTGTGTAGTAGGGACAGAAGGCCTATGGCCTATGTTGATCTTTTATATTATGCTTCTGTGTATGTCAAGTCTCTTCTTCGACGAATCAATTAGAGCTGAGAACACCATTGCTTCGGGTAACGGGGTCCAATAATCATTGACTTGGTATGAAAACTTATATGACCTGGGCATTTTGGTGGTTCTTGTATTTTCAACTCACTTGCTATGTCCTCCGAGTTGTCCTGATCTAGGAGGTAGAAAAAGAGAGGATATTTCGGGTCAAAAATTATTTATTAGTATTCTATACACCAAAATCAGAACTTCTGTCAATCTGCGGTAGGACAGAGTGAAGTGGTCTAGCTTTTAATGCCGCTATTTACATGGCAAACACTGGAGACCTGGAATTGCACAGGTAGCTACCCTCTGCATTTTTTCCAGGATATCCGACCAGACTTTTTGGCGTGAGCCTGCAGCCTGAACACAGCTAACTTCATACTAAAATCGTGCATACTGTAGTGCGACGAGGTATCAAGATTACGGCCCACAGTTACCTTAAAATTCTTATGAGACTTGACTACGGGTACATGCACTTCCCTCTATGCTGTACCTATTTAATTTTGTATCCCCAAAGTGCATGTAGACACACTTGACCGTGTTGAAATGCACCAGCCATTTCCTAGACCAGGTAATCGGAATGTATATGCTAGCCTGAAGTGCTCATGCATCTATGTCCATTGTCGTTTCTCGCCGGATTTTTACATCATCAGCGTATAGTAACATTGAGAACAAAACTCAATACATCAACATAATTTACTCATCAATAAAAGCGAAATGTTTCATAGATTTCATAAGTTTTGACAACTATAAACGCCTTAAATTTCTTCTCAAATAACTGCTCAATATATTGCTCTCCTAGATAGTCCAGGTAACGCGAGTACAAGTCTTAGCTTACTGAAAATATTCATGAAATTTCCGAAGCAAATAATGTAGTCACATAGGTCATTTCGATGAGTTTAAATATATCAAAGATATTGGGATTTTGACAACCCCACTTTTCGTAGCACCTTCATAATCGAAGTACACCAACCCAGTCAAGTCAGAAGTCAGGAATGAATGAGGTGGAAGATATATTTGTGAGATTGTTGATTTGTCGACAAACGTTTGGTCTAAGCTGGCTAATATTTGCATGTGATGTGTAACATGGAGTATCCATTGGTGATCCAATTCTGATGCATGAACGAGTGCCTCCATTTACTACATTTCCAGTGAAACTTAAAAGGTCATTACTAGTAAAACTGATCCAAACCTGCCAAAACGATGTCATGGCAACGTCCTCAGTACATATCACAACTACTCCCATGTAAATGCATGGAAGCTAGCAGTCTGATTGCACGGTGATTTTGGTGGCCTGAAATAAACAATGGAATAAAGGAATTGTTCTGTCCTATGGAGACTATCAAATATCTTTAGTGAAAAATAATTTCCGTAAAAAAAGTACCTTAGGAAAATAGACTTGCTAAATATCCTCTACGTCCCGCTTCGACTTCCAATCATATTCAACAATAGTAACGATAATAATTATAATTTATTCTAAATAAATACTAGTTACGTGAGTCAGGTAAGTTTACAGTTATGATCAAGACTTGTTCATCCCGATTTAGTAAAACCCATACTAATGTCGAACAGTTACTTGTAACTCTCAACATATAAGTCTTTCCACATAATGGCTTTAAGTGGTGCATCTAGTGACTGTAGAACAACAATGATTCGTAATCACATGAACATTCCAGCTCAGTGTATAATAACTTGGAACATTTAACATGGAGCCTGAATAATGGGTTTAAAATAATGAGGGCTGATAAAGGTCAATGCTAGAAATTTATTGAGACTGTATTGCACGACTACGTAGTTACGTCAGTCCTGTGAAAATTTCTCTTCCTCATATTAAAAATCATTATATCCTCATAACTGTTTTTGTCTTCCAAATATTCTTGCAGACCAGTACCCGATTGCGACAATATGGCGAGTGAGGATGGACAACGATGAAACTTCGACGTAAGATTATGTTGACCAGGCAGTTGCATAGGTGAGAGTCAAAAATGTCGGAGTAAGGCTATTAATTTGTAGCGGCATTAGGCCCTAATCACACAATCCTGAACAGAAGACACTTAGGAAAATAGATGTTCAACATTTAACGTGAAGAAAAGTCCAACGAAGGGAAGCGGGAACAATGAACTGAATTACTTGGAGTTGATGGGATGGCATGACTCTGCCTTGCAGGCGTGGTCCCTGTTCAATGTCACCTTATATCTTTTAGTGATATTAAATGTAATGTTCTATCTCTAGCCTAAACCTGTTCTCCACCATGTATTTGTGATTGTTGTGATGCAATGAGTTGGCGTAGACGACTATGTGGCTACCACAATTAGGTCCATTATTAGAGCAGTACTAATATCAATGGCATCCGCAGTTCTTCGACTGATATTAGTGAGCTGAGCTGGACGACAATAGCTTTTGCACGCGTTATAAACGTTACGTGCCATTTCAAATTGTTTTCTGGCCTGAGATGACCAAAATTCATCTTCTATCATCTCATAAATTGGCGAAAACAACAACGACTGAATCACACTAGTCACATTTTTCCTACCTATAAGTACACGGTCATGGGTCTTAGGCATGTGGGGACACATGTACCTTCTCTTATCTTGATAATCAGCTTAGCGATCGCATGTTGGTAGAATGGGTAAATACGGTATTCTATTTAATTTTTGTCGGTTTGTTTTCTGTGTATCTTATAGCTGTTATGATAGAGGGAAATTTGTATCAATATCCTCTGCTTGTAACCGAGGGTGAATATCTGTGGACAAAATGTGACATTTGTTCAACAACACAGTATAGAAAAAATGTGAACTGAAAATAAACTTCCCCGAATCCGTTATAGCAACGACTCCGATTCAGTCACGAATTACGGCACGTAAGTCATCGCCGTCATCACTGTCAACCAAACAACGTTTCGTTCTGAGTTCTTTTCCCATTAATTAATAATTTCGTTGCACTCACTGATGCTTCAATTGACTTAAATATTTCATACACATAGTTCCCTTTACTATCTTAATGAGAGCAGGGACGAAGATTAGTGATAGATATTATGAATTCATTTTATTTCGTTAGGTTCACATCAACTGCTTACAACCTATTATATACTAAAACCAACGTTATTACAGATATTGACATACTTATACATATGAGGGTGATTAAAGATAAATCTGTACATCATGAAGTGGCAAAGATTTCAACAGATTTAATACTGTTTAAGATAAATAAATTTTTGGAGGAAAAGTCCCAGAACATTGAAATAATGATTAGAACTTATTGAATTGACAAACAGCAGATAATTGTGTAATGAAGCAACTGTGAATGCTTTTAATTTCGAAACGTGTTCTCAGAATTGAACGTTGACTCTCCTTTCTGTTTTATCAATATGACTGCTTTGTCAGATATATGTAAATTTGTATGTACAGTTGGTGATAACATGAATAGGAAACCAATCGAACTTCCATAGTGTTAAAGAACATGTTGTGATTTATCGAGTTTTGAATGTCAAAAATGTTGATTAGTATTTAAAAACTTGTGTTGGTTCTATGATATTGGTGTGTTTTAAGTTCGTTGAAGCACTAGAACCTGCAACCTCAGGTTAAGAAAGAATGTACATTGCAATATATGGTATATTTCTAGCACAAAATATACACAATTTATATGGTTTCATAACCAAGATACGTCTGTACAGAATTTTAAGAATGGATATATCTAGCAACAGCAGTTTCCTGCTCATTAATTCTGTACACTCAGTCGTTGCCTAAATTTTTTAATTGATATAGCCCTTATTATTTTTGTTGTATTCGTTTCGCTGATTCGATGGCGGTTTGTTACATCTGGCTTTTGATTTTGTTGTGGAATGAATTTTCTCTCACATTTTGCAAGGTCTACGACTTTATCTTCCGAAATGTCTCGGTACAGTTTCGTCAAAAATGTATGGAGACTAAAAAGGGTGAAACAATGAGATTTTTATTCATTACTCAGATACTTGTCGGTGTGACGACCGAAATTTAAATATCTGGTCTTAAAACAGAAGACAATCCAACAAAAACGGAATTTATTCGATCAAACCAAACTATTCGATTCTTCTGCTTAGGGTACAATCCTTAAAAAAACCATGGTCATATCACGACAAAAATTTGGTGCTGAATTTATGCCACAATATGTTACAAAACAAATTCTGCCAAAATAATGCAAAATACCTTGACAACGACATATGCTCACTGTACAGTAAAGATTTTCCCCGGTACAAAATAACGTGCTAAATATGGATCATCGGTTACTAAACATAACTTGAAAGTACCGTAACATCAACAAGAATATTCTCAACGAAACAGGATCAAAATCTTGTCTGCAAATATTAAGTCAAACAACGAACGTTCCTAGTAAACGGTGTAAAATAAAAAATAATCAAACATTTCATTCAGTAACTTTGCATTGAGTTAGGAAAGCTCATATTGTTAATGCTCCTGCACCATACAACAGTAAAATAAAATTATGATGATTAGAATAATTGTATGAACTAGGAATCTAAGAAATAACGCAAATAAGGCCAAATAGATCTTAGTGATCACAAACCAGTTTACTGTATTTAGAATTCGGAATCAGATAGTCATCAAGTACAAAGGAATTATTAATTTATAAAAACACCACAAAATTGTTAAAAGTAT